AAGTATATTCTGAAGCGCATACATATCATTCTGCTCGTAGTAGCGGCATTTTAATTTCCCCAGCTTTCTTTTAGACGTAATTTGGCCCCTATTAGCATGAGATATGTAATGAATTAGTGTGGTAAGCTTTCAAAGTACAACACAACTCGCCACTTGCTCAATTATGTTTACATAATGGGACTGCTTTCAACGTAAAAATTGAGTTCCCAACCAGAGAGAAAACAAAACCTTCAATTATACATTAAAATAGGAAAACCGATCTAGTTTATTTAAGTGAAAGTATTAATTACACGAAAAGATTGATAGCGTTGTGGCGCAAATTCACCTCAATTGGGTGGGCCTCAAAGTAGTCGTTGTCAATCCAATAAAAACTCGTTCTATAACAATGAACATATATGTACATATAAAGTTTGAGTAGCAGAGAAAGAATTTAAAGTGAACAAACGAATTAACAGAAAAAAACCCAATATACTATATAAGTAAAGATAGAGTTACGTACAAAAAACCACTGATAATGATTACACAAATCGATACATAGAACAAGTCACAGTATCGGAGACCACGTTAGTTATAAGAGGTGATAACACAAAACATGTAAATAGCGAACCTTCATCAAATTACATGTTAGCTGCTAACAGTTGAGTTTGAAAAATTTAGATATTTAAACAAACGGAACAATAAGATACAAGTTTTTAACAATTACCAAATTATCATTCGATTGTGTTTAATTTGAGTCGAACAATTAAAAAACCTCGTTTTCAAAATTTCAGAAGCTAAATTAATTCACTTGTCAGTTTAGAAATTTAGATAATCAACAACTCGGACTATTTTGATGCCTTGATTTTTCATAATTTTCCCAACTCTATTACTAGAATTAAATCACTAAGAAATATTCACCAGTATATAATCTCCGCTTGTCTCTTAATCAACAAAAACACTGAGATTTCAGCACAAGGCGTTCTGATGTAGTAATAGTGGCTGGTGACTTTAATGCTCAGGTAGGTAAACTAAGCGAAGAAGAAAGACACATGGGTGGATCTTATGGCGTCATGGCTCGAAGAACAGATAATGGTGACCGTCTATTACAGCTATACTTAGATAACCGCCTGTTTCTTGCAGATACTAACTTTAAGCATAAGTAACAATATCTTTTAACATGACGACCACCGAATTCGTACCAACGTTGGACTGCACTAGATCACATCGCTATCAACCACCGATGGAGGAGCTCGATAGAAGACTGTCACTCGTTCTGGAACACATGCTTAGAATCAGTGCCTCTCAGGATTCTACTTAATGATAACCAAGCTAAGTATATATTTCAGGAACAACTAGAAACACAATTAGGCAGTCATGTAAGTGATACCCACACTGAGGCAGCTTGGAATGATATGTGAGAAGCTGTGAAAACAGCAGTGATATCTGCTAGTAAAGGCAAGTTGATGTAAGTTCCCTAACTCTTTACGAAGTTGAAAAAGCTATAGGAAATCTGAAGCGAGGGAGAGCAGCAGGCCCTGACAGGTTTACCCCTGAGATTTTCAAGGATGGTGGTTCAGTATTAGCAGTGACATTGACCGAGGTCTTAGGTAGAATCTGGGATCTAGAAGTAACCTCATCTGACTGGTCTCAATCACGGAATGTGCCAGTCTATAAGAAAGGACAAAAGTCTTATTGTGACAATCACAGAGGAATCAGTTTGACTAATATAATGTTGAAAAACATTAGCTTCAATAATACTTCGACGCCTAACTAAAGCTCGTGAAGAGCAGACTAGAGAAAATCAGGCTCGTTTACGACCTGGACGTGGTTGTATAGACCAAATATTCACACTACGTCAGGTTCTAGAACACAGACACACATTCAGACGCCCTACAATGGTAGTATTTCTCGACCTTAAGGCGGCATTCGACTCTGTTGATCGTGAGGTTCTATGGCAGTGTTTGTCACTGAAAGGAGTACGAAGAAGCACATTAACCTTGTAAAGGCTCTCTACTCGAACACAACTGGTCGAGTGAGAGCTTATGGCGAACTGTCATCAGAATTGATTATCTCAAGTGGTGTTCGTCAAGGCTGCCCACTCTCTCCGTTCTTGTTCAACTTTGTCATTAACGTACTTTTAGAGATAACACTTTCCTCATTTAAATTTCTAGGGGTTCCACTTCTACCAGGAGATTCACTTTTTGACCTAGAATATGCCGATGACATAGTTCCATTTGGTGAAGACGTTGACAGTCTTTTGACCACCGTAAGCAACAATGCAAGCATGTTCGAGACGCGATTCTCGCCTTCGAAATGCAAAATGTTGCTTCAGGATTGGGTTGCATCGACACCCGAACTAATGATAGGGAGTGAAGTAGTTGAGCGTGTCGACCGCTTCACTTATATTGCAAGTTTCATCAGCCCTTGTGGTCTGGTGTGTGGCGAAATCTCAGCACGGATACAGAGGGCTCGAATAGTTTTTGACAACTTACGTCGTTTATAGTGTTGGCGAGATGTCTGTCTACCAATCAAAGGACGGGTTTACTGCGCAGCAGTTAGTTCCGTCTTACTTTATAGCAGTGAAACATGGCCGGTAAGAGTAGACGATCTTCGTAGGTTACTAAAATTCGATCATAGGTGTCCTTGAAGCATTGCTCGTATATTCTGGGACCACCGAGTAAGTAACGAAGTTGTTAAGAAACGAGTACTAGGTAAGATGGCAAATCGATTGATGACATAGTGAAACTTGATCAGTTGAGATGGCTGGGACATGTGTTACGTATGCCCAACCACCAAATGCCCCGACGTGCGATGTTTTATGGTATAGGAGTAGATTGGAAGAAAGTTAGGGGCGGTCAGGCCAACACATGACACAAATCCATGAAGTCACTGACAATTGGACTAAGTCATGTTGGTAGGTGTACACTAACTGGTTGGGATCCGTAAGACGATAGCAACCGATGGCTAAATACCTTTAATGAAATGACTCAAAATCGTTTGCAATGACGCAGGTGCGTCCACTCGTTGAGTTCTCCCAAATTCTAATCTTCTGAATTATTCACGTCTCTTATTTTCTGTCTTCAAATTTATTTCACTTAATTATTCTCCTTGAATAACATCTTCAAACCCTAGTGTTCCCGATTACTGCTTATACTCTTACCATCTCTACCACTACGGGATTTGAATCGACAATTGTATCTGTGTGCCAATGTGGTGTAGCAACTTGAACTGATGTACGTACGTACGAAATTCTACGTTGTTGCTGAGTGACTGAATACAGATTTTGATTTACGATTATCCATACAATAATTCATTAAAAAACGTCCACTTATCATATTTCATCATCACTCCTAGTATGAGTTAGTAAACAGAATAATCGAGATAAGGATTGGTTATGGTGTAGTATTCATTAAAACAAAAAATACAGGCGTTCGTAAGGATGTGATTTATTTATTCAGGTCAAAACAATTTCAACCAGTAAACTACGGTTTCGAACCCTGCTCCATCTAATGAGGTTTGAATGATCAGTTATATTTAATATTAGACTATGAGAATGATTTATAACCCTGGTCCAACTGCATCAATTTAGGCAACTGGTTAGTATAGTTAGCTTTCACATTCAGCACGTGGCTTGAAGGTAACTACACTAACCTGGGCCTAGTAAATGAGATAATCTAACTCTCGGACATAAATAATTGCATACAGACTAATAAATGGAAGTCGATAGATAATACAAGTAACAACAAGATTCTGACTTCTGTTTTATTGCTTTCTCCGTAAGAAATTCCAGTGAATTTGAACCACTTCTAGAAGACATATACTGAATACTTAGGCAGATAATAAAGAATTATGTAGAATGATTAGAGGCGATCAACAGGAAATCGTGAGCAGGATTTCATGCTTGTAAGGAATTATCGGTAATATGTATTAACAAGACATGAAACATTAGTTTGCTAATGATCGAAAATAAACCTAGGTGGCGATTGTCGGCAAAAACGATATTTTCATTTAGAATAACCTGCCAGATGCTTTCAATCATAAATCAACAAATGTCACCATACAGCTGATTGACTTCATTCAGAATACACCATTAATTTGAGTGACTTAATTCGGTTAACAGATTAGATTATCTCGAAATTGGATTGATTACCAAAGGTGACAAGTTTAACATAGCATATAAGTTCATGCATAACTAAACATACTACATTAATTCCTCACTAATGCTCCATGATGTCTTCCTTGTTGAAATATACCAAAGAAACAAGTCCTGATCACATTGATTTATTAATAATGTTTGACTACATACTCCAATCTACTACTCCATAACGTTTAATTGGATTGGTGAGGAGATCTCTTGTGTATAACTGAGGCTAATGCTCCAGTCAGTTTGCTATATATAACGTAGAACCTGACACATGTGTGTCAGTTCAAGTTGCCATATAACATAATCACACAGAAATAGAATTATTAAGACAAATATCAGCATTGTAGAAGTATTGACAATATCATTAGTAACCAAAAAGATTAGGTGTAAAAAAGAAACAAAAAGACATAGGATTTAGAGATTTAGAGAAAATAAAGTGTATGAACCTGTGCCACTGAGCACGAGTCGGAGCCATATCACACAGTCTGTAACCATTGGTTTCGACAGTTACCCCGACTTCAACCAGATAATATGAACCTACCTACACGGCTCAATGTAACGGGTTAATGACTTTATGGACTGATGACACGTTCTGGTTTGGTCTCCCCTAGCTTATTTTCAGCCTACTACACCAGACAACATTGCCCGTCGAGACAGACAGTCGTTGGGTATACATGTTGTAATCAGCTCAATTGATCAAGATACACTACCTCATTAACCAATGACTAGTGTTCCGGCACAGATACAGATTGATTTGATATCCATTTTACAAATAGGATGGTAAAAAATATCAATAAAGAAAAATTATCATTTACAGCTATTCAAGTCACTGAATAATCATGAAACTGGTACAAACCTGTTTTTATAACAATAAAACTCATAAATTTACTGCCATACACAGACTTACTCCTTCTGGAGTGATTGTGAATCCAGAAGCCTTTTCAACGACTAATTCCTTTAGTTCTCCACATGCAGGATTGTCTATGGAACTCTTAGCTTTGATTTGTTGTTGAATTTCTATACTTTTCACTTCATCAATATTTGATTTGTTATTATTACTGCTTAGTGAGAAACCAAATATTCTTCCTAATAGAGATGATGATTTCTTTGCATTTACTTCGACACCAGATTCTTTATAACTCTGTCCATCAAAAATACAGTTGATTATTTCAAAGAAATTTGTTGAATAAAAACCATTTTGACAAACATTAGGAAGCAATTTAAGATTAGACCGGATTGAGTGAAATTAGAACTAATAGAGAGAAATTAAAATCTAACTATAGTACGAATTATATTATTTATCACTGAGTTCCTGAGTACAAGGAAACGAAGCATTATCATTGAAACTCACTTAACTGACATATTTTCTAGCATTTAGAGAATGTTTTGTTGCAATAATCGTTAAATTAATAAAAACAATTGATTTCTTGGTTTTTATTTGATAAAACATTTTCATGTCAGTCAGTCAGTCAGTCAGCTACAACGTAGGACCAGGCACATATGTGCATCGGTCCAGGTTGCCATACCGCATCAGCACAACAAGATGAACACCGGATTCATAGCAGTGGTTAGGTCAAAGGTGGTAATATATAAGAAAAAGATTGCATATAGAGATATAGTACAAGAAGAAAGAATTGGTTCGTAGAAAGAAAGATATGAAGCGATTTTAATCTCTTAGTTTAAGGGAAGACAGAGAGTGTATACACCGACGCCATTGTGATCGATTCTGAGCCATGTCACCAAGAGTCTCCAACCATTGGTTACGAAAGTCACGCGGACCCCAACCAAGTAGTCTGCATCTACCAACATGGCTCAGACTAGAAGTTAGTGACTTCAAGCACTGATGCCACGTTTTGGTTTGGCCGCCCCTAACTTTCTTCCAACCATCTCTAATACCGGATAGCATTGCACGTCGTGGTAATCGGTGTTCAGGCATACGTAACACGTGGCCCAACCATCTCAGTCGATGAAGATTCATAACCTCATCAACTGATTTACCATCATTCCCTAATACCCTGCGTCTAACCTCACTATTACTTACCCGGTGATCCCAGCAGACGCCAGCAATATTTCTAAGGCATCTGTGGTCAAATACTAGTAGCTTACGAGTGTCTTCTACTCTTAATGGCCATGTTTCGCTGCCGTAAATTAAAACAGAACGGACTGCCGCGCAGTATACTCGTCCTTTTATTGATAGACGGATATCTCGCCTTCGCCAAAGGTGACGTAAGTTGGCAAAAGCCAAACGAGCTTTCCGAATCCGTGCTGAGATTTCGTCAGACACCAACCCATTAGGGCTGATCAGACTTCCAAGATAAGTGAAGTTGTCAACGCGTTCGACTACTTCACTCCCTATCCTTAGTTCAGGTGTTGACGCAGACCAGTCCTGAAGCAACAACTTGCATTTAGAGGGAGAGAAGCGCATTCCAAACATTCTGGCATTGTTGCTTAGTGCTACCAGAAGACTCTGCATTTTGTCAGCGTCTTCACCAAACAGGACTATGTCATCTGCGTATTCTAAGTCGATAAGTGGACCTCCTGGAAGGAGATCAATACCCGAGAATTCAGTCGACGAGAAGTTATTTCCATCAGTAGATCTATGATGAAGTTAAACAAAAATGGAGAAAGTGGACAGCCTTGACGGACACCACTTGAGGTTGCAAAAGTAGATGACAGTTCGCCATAAGCTCTGACTCGACTAGTAGTGTTCGAGTAAAGAGCCTTCACAAGGTTTATGTACTTCTGAGGTACGCCTTTCAATGACAGACACTGCCACAGAATCTCGCGGTCTACAGAGTCAAATGCTGCTTTTAAGTCAAGAAAGACCACCATTGTCGGACGCCGATAAGTATGCCTGTGTTCTAGAACCTGACGAATGGTGAATATGTGGTCGATGCAGCCACGACCAGGTCTAAAGCCAGCTTGGTTCTCTCGTGTTTGCAGTTCACGAGTCTTAGTTAGGCGTCTGATAATTATCGAGGCTAGTATTTTAGATATTATATTAGTTAAACTAATCCCTCTGTGGTTGTCACAGGATGATTTTGACCCTTTCTTATATATTGGGACGATAAGTGATTGTGACCAGTCAGATGGGATAACGTCTAACTCCCAGATCTTAGCTAAAATATTAGTCAACCTAATCGCTAAAATTGGACCACCATCCTTAAAGACCTCTGGAGCCAATCCATCTGGACCAGCTGCCCTTCCTCGTTTCAGATTAACTATAGCCTTTTCAACTTCAGCAAGAGTTGGGGGACCTACTTCAATGTTCCATTCACATTGTCTGGGAATGGAGGGTAGTTGTAGAGTAGCTGAAGGCCAGCTGAACTGTTCTCTAAAATGTTCCGCCCATCGTTCTAAACGTCTGGACTGGGAGCAGATGAGAGTATCGTCTTTTTCCGAAATAATCTCACTTACACTTGACTTATTAATTCCAGTTTCTTTTATTAGTCTGTAAAGCTGTCTTGTGTTCCCTATAGTCGCCGCCTTTTCCATCTCTTTTGCTTTCGTTGCCCACCACTGCTCACGGTCGTTCCTTAGACTTTTTCTTAACCTAGATCTGATTTGTTGTCGCTCTTCATCATGTTCGGAACCTGATGGGACGAGTTTGCGAGAATCCATCAGTGTGATAGACTTTGAAGAAATCCACTGGTTCTTTGTAACTCTGTGGTTTAAGTCGCTAATAGATGTCACTGCTGTTTCCACAGCTGCTTGTATGCCCTTCCAAGCAACATCTGGGTCAGCCTCGTCTTCACAACTACCTAAGTGTGACCTCAGTTGTTCCTGGAACCTACTTTTGGTTTTCTCGTTACTCAACTCAGTTCTAATGGGTCTTTTTAATGTGGCTTTTTTGCGTCCAGTGAGGCGCAAGCAGATGCGTGCCCGTATTAGGGCATGGTCGGAGTCCAAGCAGGTACTCCAGAATGAGCGACAATCTTCTACCGACCCTCTCCAACGATGACTGATGGCAATATGGTCTATTTGAGTCCATCGTTGGTTTGGTGTAGGGGGTCGCCATGTTAGACGATGTCTCTCCTTATGCTTAAAATTTGTGTTTGCTAAAAATAAACGATTGTCTGAGCACAGTTGCAGCAGACGATCACCATTATCTGTTCGCTGTGCCGGAATGCTAAAATATCCACCTAAATGCCTTTCTGTTTGGTTTAAGCTACCTATCTGAGCATTAAAGTCACCCCTACGAGTACTATGTCTGAGCGTTTAGCTTTCTGAAGAAGTTCGGACAGCTTTCTGTAAAATTCATCTTTCACATCATCTGAGCTGCAGTCAGTGGGAGCGTAGGCAGAAACGACGAAAAGGCAACGACGTGTGTCCCTATCCTTCCGAGTTCTTACGGAGCCGTTTAGCCGAACAGCACATAGACGACTGTTGACGGGGATCCACTCTAGCAGTGCTTGTTCCGCCCTCATGCTTAGTGCTATGCCTACACCTGCCAGTCCACGAGAACTGGCCATCGGGTCACCAGATACACGAGGGTGTATCTCGTTGGCTCTCCGTTTTGCCGAGGTGAGGTCAAGTGAATGACCACACTGGAATCCTGTATGCGTGTTTCGGAGACACAGCATACATCAATGGAAAGAGACTCTAGGGTTTTAGCCAAGGAAGCCTGCTGACCGATTTGACATAGAGTGCGTACGTTGAAGGCTCCAATGTGTAGTTTGGAGCGAGGTTTCAGTAGACCTGGGACAGGTTTTGAGCACTAGAATCGTTGGCTATGGTGACACTTGAGGAGGAAGCCGAAGGAGGAAGTTTAGGGTTGAAAGTCGATGTAGGAGGAATAATAGGAATTGAAGAGGAAGGTTGATTATGAATACAGTGGTCTTGGGTGCTGTTAGAGGTATGAGGGCGGTTATCACTTCCCGGTTGCCCACACCGTGGAAGGGTTCTTCTGGAGGTACCTGAAAAGGAAATTGGATTAGAGGCGGTCTCAGTGACCTGAGAGCGTGACCGCAGTGCCCAAGGGACAACTGCTTGAGGCCGGTCGCGCACGGCCTTTTCGTGGAGGTTTTTGACGTGTTAGCTCCGTTCTTCAAAGGGCCTTACCGCCGGAGACGGAAATCCGTGAGGTAAGGTGAGGTGTGCATTTTTAGGGTCGACCTTTTCTAACCCCACCCCTCCTTGTGGGAAGGCAGCATCGCTGTCATGCTGGTTGTCTGAAGGAAACACCTTACTGCTGTCACACCTCTGTACAGTCAGCAGTACGACTTCGCCTTCGGACCTTGGGTTTGTTGCTTTTAGTCTTACCGCTCTTCAACCGACCTGTCTGACATGGTAGGACCTTGAGGAACGGTTGTTCCAGCCAGTATAGCTCGGTTGCTTCATCACGATAGGCAAGCCCGACCACCACGTCAAGGTAACAACAACGGTCGGGCATTTTCATGTATCACCAGTCAATATGTTAATAGAAATGTATACAATAAAATGAGGTGACAACATACGCATTACTGATGATTATCATAGTCAAACTAATTTATAAAAATAAAAGAGGAAGTTAATTGTCACTAGTTTAATAACATGAAATACTAAAGACTGATGGCGAAAAAAAACACATTTAAGTGAGGCGAAAAACCGGACTATTATATTTCGTCATCGATAAGCTAACTATGCCATGTTAGGCTGTTGTAGGTAGCCGACAGGAAACCCTGGACCTAGATTTCGTACCAATTTCAATATTGAGGAAGCCGGTGCTCCGCACACGATCTGAACACAAGTTACTAGGTCACAGTTTAAGATATAGTGATGAGCCGTTTATACGGCGACTGACTTCAGATAAAACTAGGATATACACATCAGTTCATCATTAAGTAGTAATCAATCTTGTGCTTGTCTAGTCCTTGGTTCTGACTAAATTCCAGTTCCTCTTATGTAACCACTACAATCTATCAGTATTAGTAAGTAGGCGTCTAAATATGATAAGGTACTTACCATTAACTTCTTCTCCCAACATTTCGAACATCCTGTACAAATCGGAGTATAAGTAAGGCGAGCGAATTTCACACGACTTTTTTCCAGCTTTTTTTCAGATATAGTGACTGAAGAATCTGCGAAAAAATTCAATGAAGTTTTAGAATCACTATGAGGATATATTTGAGCATTGTTTTCAGATGATCGAAGCCAATACCAAGTAGATCTCCACAATGCACCAAAATTACGACTCCAAGATCTAGGAGATGAAACTGAAAGTGTTGTGAGTACACCACGGTGATCGTTAGGATTTGTTGGCTTTTTATGCCTATCACTAACACCACAACCCCCACCAAGTTCTATATCTCTCCAAATGTTCCATTCAATACCTAATAAAGAATGAGTATTCGCAGATGTCGCCTTTGATTGTTCAATTGGTTGACTATCCTATTTGAAAGGTTATAAGCAAACGATTTCAAAACATTATGTGTCACATAAATAAAATGATTTCGATGTAAAAATTACATAATAGGTAAGAAATGTGTAAAAAGAATGATACTTCGTAGATGAGATTGCTTATTTCAAAAAGCTTTTTAAATGGCATAGATCACTTTGTGATGTAGCCAGGATGAATACAGAATTCAGACTGAAGGCATATACCACCAAGTGTGTTTACACAATAAGTTGAAAAGATTTTCGTTTGTATTCTCATGAGGTTTAAGAACAAATACTAATAATTACTGGTACTAGTCAGTTGATTTACAAATAATTTAGTAAGCCCATTGTTCATGAAGATGATGAAACACTAGTTAACACATGCCTTTAATATTTCAGCTTTTCTAGATTATTTTAATTCATCCACATTTTACTTCCTCTCTCAACCAATGAAGGAGACTATTTCTATCTTCTCCTATGCTTGGCTAACCAGAGTAAGAAATTCAGTTGTTGTAGAGATCCTTTTCTGATTGAGATCCAGTAGAATTCAAAATACATTTAAGAATACATTTAGAATACTCTATATTGTTGAATAACAAGTTTTGACAAGGATTTGAGATATTGGTTACATAAAGTGTAAAAGTACAAGCCTACGTCTGACATAATAAATGTCTGAGATATACTCAATTATACAGCTTAATACGAACATAGTTAATTGTATCACATGACATTTGGGTATACGTACGTTTAATTTCAATGTAATAGATAAAAGCCTACCATTTATGTACCAAACGTCAAAATGATCCATTTCACTTTATTGAAACGTGGTGCTCTAGCTTCAATTCACTCGTGATCTCAACTATTCAAATAAAAAATGTGACTACCTTTCACGTGATAGTGATACATTTATCCGTTTTATAAAATGTCTATATCAATTAATGTGGCACTTATCTGTAACAGTGTTACATGCAAAATGTAATAAGAATGTTTCAATATAGTGAAAGGGATTATTTAGACGTTTGGTAAATAAATGGTAGGCTTTTATCTATTACATTGAAATTAAACGTACGTATACCCAAATGTCATGTGATACAATTAACCATGTTGAATAATATTGTCCGACCGGCCATTTTTTTTAAAAAAAAAACCCCACCCCATTAAAAAATTTTCCACCCCCAAATTACAATATTTTTCATCCCTTGTTTCGTCCAATGAAATGGCTAGTTTCAAAAATTAGATTTAATTGGGTTAGTTATGTCTTGAAAATTGTTATAAATTATCAGTACTTGTCGACGAAGCACAATTTCAATCGTCATTATGGAGCAGCGTGCCTAATACAAGCGCTGGTGTTTCTCACGTAACGGAAATGGAGGAAGTCTTTTTGACTACCTTGTTTCTGGTTGCGTTTCCATCGGTTGAAGCGTTAAAGACCACTATCACAAATTTTGAAAGATCGACTTACAGTCATTATGTAATGAGAGATTCGCATATTGGCAGAGATCAAAAATCGTACATTAAATTTGTGTGTTGGCGAAATGGGCGTATAAGATCTAGCGGTTCATCACAACGTATTAGACGGAGGAGGTAATTTGGTAAATTGTTTTATAATTTTTTTAACGAAGGGCTTCTATGAACACCCAATGTCCGGCCATTATGTTTTGTAAGATTATAGACGGCTATTGGACTGAACAATACGAACATCGTCGAGACCAGTCACCGAGTCTTGAAGATGTATCACCTTAATCGAAAAACACCGGTTCTCAGATTCATTTTCAATGTGCTGCTTCGTACTGGATATTGGATGGAAGCAAGATTACATAAATATTCAATGGATTGTCGGGGGAAAGCCGATATTGGTGAGGAGCCGGAAGTACGTCGACTTCAGGAACGACTGACACCAGTTGCCTGTCAATTACTGAAGCGACACCTTCGCATTCTTATAACGCAGCCTGCATTGTCGGAAGATTTATTCACCGCTATGGACGCCACGGGGACTTACTACGTACACGTCGATACTAGCCGGTGCTCGTGTCCATTCTTCATTGAAAACGGATTACCATGCCGTCACATATTGGCTTACTGCACACACAGTAACACCGATGTGAACGTACAGTCAATTTGTGACAGGTGGTTACACTATGATGGTTATCTGACTTATATTGCAGTTGAAAATTATTTCCCAATGCAATTGAGTCAGCCAGGCATGAAGAATGCAGTGATAGCGTTAGTCAGGGGAATGTCGGAGGAACAATGCAGTTCACTTCATGACTTCATAGTTCACGGTAGACTACCAACAACGCCAGTAAACTTGCATGGAGAACAGCATTCGTACACCCTTTCAAGAACCTCGACTAACGTAGCAGTGCCGTTTATACAACGAGGAACTGTTGATTTGGATGAAACGCTCAGTAACGATGAGGAGGAAGTAATTTCTATTAACTCCGAAGAGTTAACTGAACGGGACATCGAAAATGAAGAAGAGGATGACGAGAATCGACTCTGCGACATCTGTAATCTTGCGCAGCCTCCGTGTGAAACCGGTGATGCGGTTGGTTGGGTTTTCTGTAAATGTGTAGCAATGTTTCATACCTTCTGTGCCTACGACCGATCGCCGAACGTACGAGCAGTGCACTGTCCTATCTGTGGCGCCATTACAAACTAATAGTGACGACGTCCGACCGCGAGAACGAGTAAAGGCCCTTTTCAGGGCCACCCACAATTTGATTTCCATTATTTTTTATCCACTACTTTTCCGCGGCAAAGGTCAAGTGATTAAGCACTTATTAATGTCTCATGAATTTAGATATCCCTTAGAGATTAATAATGCAAAAGCGATTATCGCTCATGTATTCGTAAACTTGTTTCTAACGTTTATTAGATATGAAGGTTAAGAAAACTTAGACAAGATTTTGTCATCTAATGAAGACTAATCTAGTAATTTTTTCATTTAAAATAATGTGATTATTGTTTATGTTTTAGTAACACTTTTGTAAACTATCTAATAATAGTACATTTTAGTCAATTTTAATAGGAATATTGCAATATAGTGAAAATTGTAATTTGCTCGTTAAGTCAATAAGTTTATGAGAACATTTATTAGTGATTATCATTACGAAGATAAATTTGATTAAAGCTCATAGAGAAGTAAACAAAATTGAGAAAATTAACTTATTTATGAATAAAATAATGACATTATAAAACAAGTTGAAACCATCATCGTTGAAATGATTCATGTGATAAAAGGTCATATAGTAAGTGTAAAAAGAAATGCGAATATTAGCTGTTTCATGAATACAAAAAACAAGAATTTCATATTCTTGTTTTATATTAAAAGTACCAGAACTATGCGTACGTAAGAAGTACGTCTGATCGTAAACTAAGCCTCCATTGTTATTCATAACTACTGATTATATCACCGTATTCATTTGCACACCTCTTCAACTATTTATTACTGGTACAATCACATTGTACTAGTTAAAAATTCCCTTAAAATATTCAAAAATATAAAATAATTTAGCAAACAATCGTTTTCATTAACTTCATCATCACACTATACAGTTGTTAGTCCATAATTTTAATATTTTATAAAGTCCAAAAATAAGGCATGACATTTATGAATTTGACAATGTAATGTGTTACCAATGGTGAACGTTTACATCTGTTACGATATATATATTTATATGTATACTTACAAATTGTAATATTTGCAAATTAGAAAGGTCATTCAATAAAGGTCTGGATTATTTGCAGTAAAGTGTTCAGTCACAATAAGTGGAAGAGCATTATAGGAAAATTGAAAATGCAAAAAATTTTGTGTTAATGAAATACATAGTAGGAGAATTGATGATTTATTGATATGTTGATTTCTTTTTCCCATTAACACACCATGTGTTACAAAAAAAACCTATGCAAACACTCTGGTAATAATTTGTTTATTAATTGGGTATTCAGTATTAGACAACCAACCGAATTCAGTAATCACTATGATCAAATATTCAAACCGATTTTCAGTTCCTTTTTCACTCAACTTTCTTTTACTGAGATACATATAATTAATCGTGTTAAGATAACTAACGACTTCAATTCAAGGTATACTTGATCAGAAAACAAAAATTTATCCCAATACACATTCACTAACAGTAGGATTGCACGGTGATGCAATTAGGTTAGTGTCTTTTTCTTCAAAAGTCTAAATTGTTTTCAAGACTAAGATTACACAAAAAGAATTATTCATTATCATTAAATTTCAAATGTAAAAATGCAAATTCTGACATCCAATCACAGCTCTAGATGCGATTTCAATTTCAACTAATCAGATTACAAAGATGAACAGTTTTTGATCAATTACAAAATTATTAAAGGTAACAAAATGTTTGTTCATTATCACTTGAGCCCACACTTGCAAAACAAGCCCACCAATCAACGATACCTAAATTTTTCATTCACACCCCACAATTTTAAAAAAATGGGTGGTAGGGAATCATTTTGGCCGGTCACTTAATGTCAACCTCAACCTTACTATTTCATAACTTACCATCTAATTGTTTTAATGCTGCGACAGCATCTAATAGATCACGAAAGTGCACGAAAGCATAATCACGGATTTTTTAAACACGTTCAACAGCATCAATTGAATTAATTGCTTGGTTGAAATGATCCTTTACCGCATCTTCTGTTGTATCTAACATTAAATTTCTGACGTATAGTGTACGGACCTATACAAAGTGAAATCAATATATATATCTTGCGAAATACTATAAGTAGTATAAGTTCAATTATAAAATTTAATTACATTTTCTTATAAGAAATCGTAATGTATACCAAATACAATTAACGTTTATACAGAATTACATTTACATATATACACTTGAAACTTCGTGAAAATAGTGTCTTAACAAATCCAAGTATGTACTCTCAACAAGTCCGCAACAAAGCTGTTTCATGTTGATATTATAACTGATTTCTATTGTGCTTTTTGCTGTAGAGACTAATGTATTCAAAGACAACATTTTGTATTGTTTCGTGCACACATAACAGCTTAATTTGTAATGATTTGGATTCGCGTAGCTGAAGAGAGACGACTGCGTCAAGTGTGATTCGATAGGTGCATGCTTTGTTGTACCAGAAGGATTACTTTTCCCTTTATGTATTTTGAGACCTACTGCTGCTGAGGTTGCTGCTACACTCGTTGTTGGTGGATGTGTGATAAAAGAGCCAGATGATCTGCGAAGTCCAGATCGTCCAACTGCATTCTAGCTGTCCACTGTATCCCATGCTTCGCCCCAGATGTTGACGTCTTCATGATCCAGTTTCTTTGACACTGCGTAATTGACTAAAATTAATGGAATATCGAAGTAAAAACTATACATATGTATTCTCGCCTGGCTTTTCAGTGATATCTGTAGAAATTAGGTGAGATGGATTGCCTTAAAACAAGTTTGCAAGAACTCTATTAAGATTATGATGAAATGTTGGAGAGAAGCGCAAAACGCGTAGGAAAGTGTGGGGAGAAACGCAAAATTTTTCACAATTTTGAGGTATCATTAATAAATATAAGCCGACTTCCTCGAAGTGTAATAAGATTCTGGGGAAGTGTGTAGATTCTGGTTTCTGAAGTTGATGAAAGATATAATGATGTTTGTTACAAAATCAGTGGATACAATACTTGGAGGATTAGAAATGTAGTGAAAAGTAAGTTAGTATTTTGTATGATTGATTTCTTTCTGTATAAGGAATGAAATTACATGATTTTTAAAATAATCGTATCATATTACCTACCAATTTATAGTAGTAGTATGTTAATTTTTTTGAAAGATTTGTAGGATCAATAGGCTGATTTCATTTAGGTAACTATGAGGGTAAACTCATTTTTAACATAATATTTTCATCAACTTCACGTTACGGTTCTGCCTAATCCACAGCAATTTGGTGTCCCCATAAATGAATTTGTCCAGGAATTCGTTTACGTCGAGCCATAGCAGCTGTTTTGTGATTTTCATACTCGACGAATGCAAATCATTTATTCTTGCTTTTATCAGCTACACTTGGATAAACAATCACATTTTTCACGCCATCATTTACTTTTCACATTTACAACATTAACTCATCTTTTGCTTTCAATTTAGGTATAACACCGATGAATAAATGACAATTATCAATACTGAAACAAACGCTTAATATTTTACCTTTACGAATTTCATAACAATTTAATTCATTTACAGCTCGTCTAGTATCATCACGATTAGTATACATACAAAAAGCATAACCACGATTTAACCCACTAAAATCCACCATTATTCGAAACAGATAAATTTTTTTAACTAATTCAAATACAGGAACTAGTTCATCTTCAAACCAATCACGTGGTATTTTACCAATGAATACTTCACAACCATTTGGTGATTTTGGTCCATACCAATTCGGTGATGGACTATAACAACGTTGATCCATTTTTTGTAATAATCGATAAAATGTTCTCTCTGTTAATGTGACTAGTGTTGGGGTGATCCAGAAAACGTCTGACAGAAGACAAGCAAGGATCAGGAAAACACTAAGAAGCATTTTATCCAATCAACGTTCACTTGTAGTTTATCCAAAAACACCAAGAAAGTGAGAAGTCACATGTAGAGTTTCTGATTGTCTGATTACAATACTGCTACTATGTTAAGTAGCATTTCAGAATCTTCGAGAAACCCAAGGACATCTGAAAATACTATAAAAACCCTATATTTTCTGTACTAAAACGAACCATTGGAGTAAAGTGCTTCTCGCATAGTTTGCGTCTTTTCTCTCGTGCTCAGGTCGCTGTGTAGTTCTAGCTTGGGGTTTACAAGGATAGCTTCGGAACCGAATGAAGCGTTCAAATTAACAAGACTTATCAGTAACGACGAGAAAACTACAATGAATATTTCTTTGGAGCAAATAGAAGCTTCTATGGAGCGTCAAGAAAAGAGGTTTGAATAGTCCCAAATCAGAATCATGGAAGCCCTGATGCAGAATTTGTGCCTGTCCCAGCGAAACACTTCTGGTGAATCACAAGTATCTCATATTGATTCAATCATCAGTGCCATTCATACTACTTATAGTATTCCACATAATATATATATTCAAGTAATAAATAAAATAATTTTACTTTGTATAGATCCGTATATTGTACGTCAGAAATTTAATGTTAGATTGTGGTGGACCAAAATGTGTATTAATTGAAAAAGACAGCAATAAAGTTATTATGTCCAAAAGTTACTTAAATCAGCAAGTTGGAGCGTGTCCTGTTGGTTTTGGTACCAGAATCCACAATTATAGGTAAATAATAATTCCAATGAGACGATATGGCTCCAGTAGTATATCTGAACGCAGAAGGTAATGTGAATGTTACAACAGTCCATAAATATAGATGATAGTTAATTAATCGTTCCGTTATCATATTCACAAACATGATAGCACGAGAGACGTATGTATAGAAGTGTATTTAATTATGGGCAGTTACCAATGTCATGCTATGTGGGATTCAAAAGCGGAAGGAAGAATGTAAGTATTCAAGGTCATATACTTAAACAACAAGTGCAATCGATTAATGATAAATGTACAGATTGTGAGAATTTGCAAAATAAATGCAAAAGATATCAAAAACTATTAACAAAATAGGTTTATTACGTCTATCTCCACAGATATGGTTAGACGGATTTAGAAGATAACATCGTTCGTACAGGAACACATTATTATCGATGAACAGTCTTGCGGTGTTTAAATTAACTAATGATTCTTTTGTACTTGTTGAATGCTCGATTTAAAATTCCAAATACAATACATTCGTTTGTGCTTGTGTCTTACTTATTAATTCAATTGCGTTATTTCCGGGACTCTTAGTTCGTACTATAATTCTAATAATTCGAAACATTATACTGGCGTCGCGATGGAGCCTGCTATGGAAAAGTTAGATATTCATTCAACTTCTGAAGCTTTTAAGGATTACTTTGAAAGGTTCGAAATCTGGGCTATGAACAAGGAAGATGATGAGGATGTTAATACTGTGGCACATTTCCTCACATTCATCGGAAAAGAAGCATACAGCTTATTAAGAACTCTGACTATGTCGGAAAAGCCTATCTCGCTTCCTTATACAACTCTCAAGGAACTGCTGCTAGACTATGTTAATTATACAAATTTCGAGTGCGGTAAAAGAGAGAGATCTCGTAAAATGATTCATGAGGATATAAAACATTCTACTACATTACTACGTCATCCCGACCCAGTACATACTCAAGGCTATGCAGATAATTCATTGAGGAGTTGCAATGCATTTCACGAAGATGGGCACAAGTTTGGTCAGTGTTTGTCCTGTGGCAAGTTCCACTCTTTTAATTCATGTAAATTTCGTAATTCTAAGTGCTTTAAATGTGGTGATATTGGACATATTCAGTCAGTTTGTAATGCTAATGTTCATCTTACTGCAACTAATATTAAGTCTTGTAATTCCGATTCTACTGAGTCGAGTATTCATGATGATCATTTATCTTTATCAACGATTTCAAAAGACAGTGCAGGGTCATATGGCAGTTCAGAGTTAAATGAAATTCAGAATTCTTGCCATACAACAGTTCTTAATCAACCAACTTATCAGATTTCTCATGTTATTGTACCAAATATGGCTTTTCCTAATGATTCACATATTTCTGATGAGATTTCTTACAAATCTGAAGAAAATATGTTAAATGAACCTAGTCATGATGAAAAACCTGAGGCAGTCTTGATAGATGATGATGTTTCTAATGATCCATTACTGTGCAATGGCATTCTTAATAAATTTCATGAAAATGTGTCATAATGCATTTGATCCTTGTGAAAAACTTGTTCAATGCAAAGCACGAGTACTAAATGACCTAGATTTTGATTACAATTCGGATGACTTCACATCAAGTGCTGTTTACCCTTATCACAAAAACAGTTCTAATGTTTACTCTAAACAATGTGAGAAATATGTATTAAATGAAGCCACGTTATTCATAACTTGAGGATATAAAGATCCAACATTATTTCGTGAGGGAGGATAGTGTTGAAAAATCTATGGTTCGAATTCTAGATAATAATGATTTCATTACAAAACCGACATGCTGACTGTATACAATTCCAGGTGAGTCTGTTCCGATTTCGTTTGTTAATTCCAATACCAATGAGCACATTCTAGATACTACAAAGGTTTTATCAAATACAATGTCGGACATACTCAGGATGAACTTAACAAGAAGACGTACAACCGATTACAGACACTTATACTCCTATTTAAGCTGTGGCGGATGTGGTGTTTGAATTAACTAATGATTCTTTTGTACTTGCTGAACCATTCGATTTCAAATTCCAAATACAATACATTCGTTTGTGCTTGTATCGTAATTCTTGATTCAATTGCGTTAATTCTAGGATTCCTAGTTCAAACTACAATTCAAATAATTCAAATATTATTAGTCTTTACTTGGCTTGAACACATCATGTACTTCTAACGTCCTCCTAAATCTATTCGGGTTAGGGACTGTCACTTGACGATTCAGTCAAGATTACTTAGTTGAATATTGCATATAATCATCTCATCTACTTCAATTCTACTTAGCTAATATGCGTTTTCTCACAAGAAATATTCTTTTAAAAAAAACACTGAAATAGTAGTGCAAAGCATCTGAATATTTCTGATGACCTCAGTTGTTTGTAGAAATTTCAATGATTATACTTTCTCTTCACCTATCACCTCATTATATTTAATTATTCAAATAATATGGTATTCTCTATTGTGTAGTGGGCATGATATGAATCTTAATTAGGATGAAGAATGTCACTTTCTAATAATATGTTTATGTAGCCTTCATTTATTTCAGTAAAGCTTTTGACAAATTTCCGCACAATCGGCTGTTATATAAGTTAAGAAATGTCGGGATTAGAGGCAATTTATTGATGTGGATAAAAGACTTCTTGGTTGGGCGTCAACAAAGAGTAAGGGTGAACTCAAAGTTATCTAGCTGGGGAACTGTGCTTAGTGGAGTGCCCCAGGGTACAGTTTTTGGGTCAGTGCTATTCCTCTTGTAAATGATCTTCCTCGTCTCTTCTTTGTCTTGAGAAGCTTTGCGGAAAGCTGGTTTTATTCTGTCTATAGAAATGGTCTCCTTGTTCCCGTTTCTGTTTATAATGAAGTATTTGACAGTGCGTTTAATTACTTTAAAAGGACCTTCATATGGTGGCTTCAGTGGATTTTTCGCAGCGTCTACTCGAACGAAAACAAACTTGCACGTCCAAGATGTTCATCAAGTTGAACTCGATTGTTATGTTCTCGCGGGATATTGCTTTAATGTTCTGCATCGTTTGCACTAAGGCTTACAAAATGGGAAGGATCCCCTGACGTTGTAGATTCACGATTGATCAGTTTTCCTGATAACGTTAAGGTTGAGCCATAAATTATTTCGGCGGCAGTGCATCCGATGTCTTCCTTTATAGTTGAACGAATCCCATGAAGTACGAGCGGTAAAGCATCGCCCCACTTTGAATTGTCAGCTTGTGCCATCAGTGAGCTTTTCAATTGACGATGGAAACTTTCAACCATGCCATTAGCTGCTGGGTGATAAGCTGTTGCTTTGATGTGGTTTGCCCCGACTTTCCCTGTTCAATGAACGCGTTAGAGCACCTCAAAATACAAACGCAACTTGGGTTCTGAGTAATGACTCCATATCCATCACAAGGCTAACCAGTGGGCATCATGTCAATAGTTACAAAAACCTAGATAAAATCGAATCCATAATCATGTATGTGACCAGTACCTACAGAAAATCCTCTTCATTCATTTGTCTACAAATTAGTAGGACCACGACTTCCTCTTTTATTAACTGAACACACTTCAACAAATTGGCTTGACATTTAAAACGTTGACATGTTTTTCGCTCATATCTTATGAAACCAGTCTGACGTTTGTCTAAGCTCGATATTCACAGTGTTTATTCAAAGTTCAGATATTTCGATAAGGCTACCGAATTCGCAAGCTTTTTTAAAGAAATCGACTCGAAACCATATGTTTATTTTGAGTCGGTGACTGCGAATCCTCATATGGGGTATCACTGAGTGAGGTGCTCTGACTCATTACAGTGCAATGATGACGTTTTATTCTAATGAATGCTGAATATTCTGATTTATTTACGAGTTGACGTTTATCTGTGTTCTTTTCTGTGTAAAACTCAATGCACGACAGTGTTTCCAAACTCGAAAGAATCATTGACAGGAATGGGTGCTGCTGACATATGAAAATTGATTCGTCAAATTACTTGATCAACTGACAGTGATTCCAAAAACGATGACAATACGAATGATGAAAGACAACAGCAAGTGTAATGGAAGTCTTTGTTTCGAAAATCTTATTGACGTAACGAGCTAGCCAGCGTAAATATTTGTGACATGTGTGTGGTGCAACGATAGTGGAAAAACTCAATGAAAGCGTTAGAAGAATGGCGTTTCGAGAGTCAACAATACTACTTGATCATCGTTACAGAGGACAGTTCATCATGACATGGAAAAGACCAACCCAAAACAAACGACTATGACATCATCTGTCGATCATTAACAAAAACAGACATGAAAAGAGGGCTCAAGATTATTATCAGTGGAACTTCATTACGTGTTGGTTTTCATAAAGACACAGCCCTGTTGAATAGATTCATCACAACATTTCAACGCACTTCAAATTGAACCGAAGCTAGATGCGGAAGATGTCATTAAAACATTTTTTTCAAATGTTTGTGGCCAGATGATGTTATCAAGTCAACTCAGACGTTCATTAAATCATAACTGTCTTAGAAGAAACATTCATCACAATTTCAGATCGATTCAATATGTGATATGTATATTTGTCCGGAACTCAAACTCCTTCCGTAGTTCTATGCATTGTTGTATGGCAAACATTTTATTGTAGGTAATTAATACATTATCCACAAAATTCTACACGTTCTTATCGTATGGCTCGAGCTCATGACATACATTCTCGCGCTCCACTGATTATCCTCAAATCATTGAGCTGGTATCTTATAGTGGTAATGTCTAACTTCATCCAATCTAC